GATAATATTATTAAACTGTTTATTCGGGCTGTTGGGCCGTTGTCTTCTGTTGAGATTAGTTCTCGACGTTTCGCCAACACTAGGGGTTGGCATCTTCTGGAGATGTTGATGCTTCGCTTGTAAGCAGAAACTGACGACGCGTTGTACTACGGAGGCAATATTTATAATTCCCACTCGCCTCCCCTCCACTGGTTTCGGCTTGAGGGGGCGTGTCGTTGTTTATAGTAGCTTTTCTATCTCCGTGTTTGGCGGGAAGGGCGTTTGTGGATTTTAATACTGGTATCCATGTTTTGTTGATTTTTAGTCCTTCTTCTATCCTATTGAAATTGTTTGGGTGCTTGTATATTTCCACCGCTTCCCGATATAACCGTGGGTAGTACTGTGAAGTTTTGTCCAGCATCTGTGTTTCTTCAAATAGTATTCGATGTTCTCCGCTTCCCAAAGCGTGTTCGGCAACGGCAGATTTGTCGATATGTCCTAAACGACAATGGCTTTTATGTTCATTTATCTGGTGTTGGTGTGTCTTTTTGTGGTTCCCACATATACCATTCCACATGTGCATGGTATTCGGTATACTCCGGCCGTTGCTAATGGGTCGCGTTTGTCTTTTACCGATCTTAAACAATCCTTGATCTTCTTTGTAGGTCTGAAGATGGTCTTTATGTTCTCTAGAAAGCCAACATATATATATATATATATATATATATATATATATATATATATATATATATATATTTCTTATATATATATATATATATATATATATATATCTATATATTATATATATATCTATATATATATATATATATATATATATATATATATATATATTTCCTTATAATGAAGTTGATTAGGATCCTAAAAAGTTTAAAAAATAAACAGATAAATAATTTATGATTCAAATTAAATAGAAAGCCATGGATCGGTATCTATCAGTATATTTGTCAATTCTTGTAAAGCCTTCTTTATAGAGGCATTTATAGAATACACACGACACAAATTATAAAAACACGATTCCTGAAAAAGACATAAGAATTGGGAAGAAAAAAAATGAAATGAAAGAAAGAGAAATAAATTAACTACGAAGTTGTAAATACCTAAAAGTTCTAGTCGAACGTATTTTTATATTTTTTAATTGTAAAAAATGTCAAATTTTCACAATAATGTTGGTACTTAGTAATAAAAGTAATGATATTTATTAAAAAATTTACAAATTGTTTTAATAAATAAATGAAAATAAAATTTCCTAATTTTATATAGTTTATTTTCATTTTTATCGTTCCTACAGGCCAGATTCATGATTGAGCTGTGAAAGCAAAAAATTATAGATGAGCTAGTGGATCTGCACTAGTCACTATTTCAAAGGAAAGCATGGAATGATTAAAAACAAACAACTATAAACGTATTTTGAACGCATTTAAAGAGGGATTGGAGAATATATTAGAAGGTATATTACTACATACAATAAAAATAAGTACCTTGGTATATTTATATCTAATGTAGACCAATAAAAGCTATGATAGCAGCAAACAAAAAAATATTGTAGTAAATAAAAAGAGTATTTGGAGGATGTTTATATAAAGAGAATATTTTACAAACACAGTTATGATAAAGGTAGGTCAATCAAAGAGGTGAGTAGATAAAACATATTAAGGAATATAATTGAAAAAGTCTGATAGTTTAATGAGAAATAAATCTAGACTTATTAGATATGATATCATACGGTGTGATATGGTTTGATATCACCAAACTTGCTTGAAATGTTTTTTGATATTTTTTGAAAGTTTATTTAACGAAAACATTCCAGAAGCATGTCGATTATCCTGCACCTCCCACTCATCGATGTTCTTATGGCATCTTATATAAATTTTGAGATATACAATCAACTTCCTAATAATTAAACTAAAATGATGACATCTCCTGAGATAAAATATTTCGGAAGCAAACAGACTCTCCGTTCGCATTTCTTGGTAAGGACTACTTTGGTGGAAACACTATTACAATGTGTGTGTGTGTGTGTGTGCGCGCGCGCGCGTGTGTGTGTGTGCTGCTTAAGTAAATCTGACAGAACGAAAGGAAATCTTTCTATGGTCAATCAAAACAGGGATACTCCAAACTTAGGGATATTCCATCAGAGGAGAGAGTGATAATAGGCGATGATTTTAATGGGCACATGTATAATTAAATAAATAAGAATTGATACTTTTGTTATTGCTTTTTGGTATTGCTTATATGCACTGGTGAGCAATAAAGCTAATTAATCCAGAATTTAAGCGCTCAGATCCAAATCGGGTTCAGATTGAAAATTCTTTCAGATCTCGAAAGCTGACAAAGTAATCTTTCAGAATCAGATAGAATAGAATAAACAACACATTTTTTGACCACACAAACCAACACAAATATACATTTAATAACACCCGTGGACAAAGATCTATGATAGATTATGTTATAACCAACAGAGATATACATCCATCGAAAATAATCGACATAAGATGCCTCAACTCAGCAGATGTAGATAGCTAGTATTATGTAAAAAAAATAATCATCTTGAAATACTTCACAGCCAAGAGAGCGGCGCCAACACAAACAAAAATTAAAATCGAAGGACTAAATACGAAATCCACAGAATACTTATACAGAAAAAGAATATCAGAGAAGATCGCGGGGAATGAAATATTAGAAAACGATAACATCAAGAAAAGCTGGAGAAAACTCAAAAATAACATAATTAACGCAGCAACAAAATCACTTGAAGAAAGAAAAGTTGGAAACAATAACATATCAAAAAAGAAAACACCATGGGTTAGAGAGGAAGTGAAGGGAAAATGTGAAGAAAAAAAGAAAGCCTTTTTACAATACAAAACACAAAAAACACAACAGGCATATAACCACTAAAAACGAATCAGAAATGAAACGAATACTTTAGTTAGACAAATAAAAAGGGAACACTGGTAGAGCTTCTCAAAACAGATGGAACACGACTTCTGCGGAACACAAAAAAAAATATGGAGAATGATCAGAGGACTTTCGCGAAGATGAACGAACTAATAAAAACGAAACACATTCTGAAGGAAACATGGGTAGACTACTTTTGATCCCTATTTGTAAAAGGTAACGATAATTAACCACCAACATCAGAGGTGGCGACAAACGAAGAAATAAGTATTGAGGAGGAAAATGTAAAGGAAGCATTAAGGAAATTAAAAAATAGAAAATCACCAGGAGAAGACAGACTACCGAACGAACTCCTAAAATACGGATTACCAGATCTAACCAAACAACTATTAAAACTAAACAATTGATTGTATTTTTTATTATGTTTTAATCTGTGATATATTTACGATTTATGTAATTTTAGTAAATTTTTAATTTAAATTGAGCTGGAAAACTCAAAACTGAAGTGGAATATCAAGTGAATAGAGCAAACAGAGCCGCAGGTTGCCTGAATGTAACAATATGAAGAAATAAAAATATCGGGAAAGAAATGAAAGAAAAAAAATTACAAAAGAGTCATCAGACCAATAATGACATACGCGGCAGAAACACGACCTAACACAGTACAGATATATGACGTAGATGCAAGGTGGAGAACATCAAGAACTGGGTTAAAAAATAGAAGAGTAGAATAGAACGATCATATAAGCCGAATGACAACAAAAATAGAGTAGTAAAGACGGTAAGAGACGGTTCTCCAATAAGAAGACGATCAGTAGGAAGACCACGAAAACGATGGAACGACAACTTACTGGGAGGCACATTGAAAAATAGACAGAGTCATGTCTACAATATAAAGAAGAAGAAGAAGAAGAAGATAATCAGTGATTGATTTTCTGAGATATAGTGAACGACTCTAAATTATTCAGCTCTCTTTTAAAATTAAAATTCTGGATTAAAAGTTTTATTGCTCGCCAATATCGTAAAAATTCACTTAAACGGATATAAAAGTACCGCTAAAAAATTCCTAGTCGGTATATCGCAAAGAATTAGAAAGGCAGACAAGTAGATCCCGAGTCCGATTAAGTTGGCCACCCCTGAAATAGACTATTTCGTGACAAGAAAAAAAGATATACGTGAATGTGAGAAGACTGTAAGCCAACAAAATAAGTTGCTTGTGCTGGACTTTGAAGTAAAAAGCGAAACGAGACCATAAAGAAAGTTTATAGTAATAGTAGTAAATATAATAATGTAATTTGAAAAGAAATCCTAATATAATTTGGTAAAATATAACTCATATTATAAGATATACTGCAATTAAAATTCTTGGAAGAACCTCAGGAGAGGAGTTTAAAAGTAAAGAAACCTGATAAAGGTCAAATGAAGTTCAAGAAAAAATAAGGAGAATTTAGTCGATTATTGATTTTTGTTGAAGTGTAGGCTAAGTCCATGTGTATTTATGAATGTGTTTGTAAAACCCATTCTGTATACGTAATGAATATTGCTGAGACATTTCTTTGAGCCTACATTCATTGTCATTAATATCCTTTCTCTTCATACGGCTCAAAAACGGCGTCATTTATTCTATATCCTATGTCTCCACTAGTCTCCAAAAATAAAAAAATTCTCACTGAGCTGATATTATCTAAAAGTTGACTTAGTTTTTCATCGTCTTCGTCTTCAGCGGCCACCGTGTCTTTGTTGGATGGTACATACACTCTTACTATCACTATGTAACGAAATGTAATGAAACTAACTATTTTTGAAAGATCGCTATATTTTATTTCTTGGAATTAGAACCTTGTCTCAATGATTTAGTGATTCTTTGCCATTAATCTCAATTTGCAGCATGTTTTACTTTGCCAAATAATTTTTCAATATCGATAGGTAATACGAATCGGCAATTCTGTTGCCCCCTACAGTTCTGCATTAGAAGCAGGAAAATCAGAACGTTTCTACATTCAATTCCCTATTCAATCTCATAGTTTTAGAGATAGTCTAGTATTTCTCATGATGGTAATTTTAATCAAGATTAGTTGTACATAAAATATAGAAGAAATAAATATTAAATTATTACTTTTAGAAATTTTATTAATCTATACAGGACATATTAAAATAATTAAATGTAATATGTAAATTTCGTTTAAAAATATCTAAAAAAATAAAATATCATGGCACGTTTTTTATGAATTCTACAGCACCTTTGAAATATTTACAATTTATAAGTAAGATCCATATTATTCTGCTGAGATATCAGTAAGTTCTTCACACTGGTGCTCAATTTCCTCCTAAAAATAAAAAAAAATATATAGGTAAATTTAATAAGTAATTTCAAACATTAAAATTATTAAGAACAACGTTTTATCAAAATAATTCACTCCATTCTACAGAAAATATTTTATATATTATGTATTACTTGCGTTTTATAGATTAATATATGTCGACTGTATTGTAAATTATTTATTATATACGGCATAAATTACATGTAAAAGTTTTTGCTTAAAGTAGGTGGTTACCCCATCCTCTTGACAGATAATACATAAATCAACCACAGGAATACGGAAAAAACAGACAAGGAATGATGATTGTAAGAAATATATAGAAAAAGAAATGTTAATACTAGCACTGATTAGACGTTAGTGAAAAAACAAGTAAAGATCTATACCTCATATGTAGCACAGCAGATAGAACAAGTATTGTGTGCGTGGTTAAAACAAAGTTTAGTTAGCGGCGGTTGTATTTCAGCTATTTAAATATGTAGATCAGGAAAATAAGCAAAAAAAGTACCCTATTTATGACACTGAACCGGCCAGGCAAACGTCAGTTGTTTTGAATAGAATGGACCTCTGTCACAAGAACCTATGTTTCCTGCAGTCGATTTTGAGGACTTTATTAGTTATTAAGACTTTAAGGTCAAAACGGTAAATTTCACTGCAAAACAGCAAAAAGTGAAGTATTTGGCACAAATTTAAGATTAATAAACTTATAAGTCATATAAAAACCTTCAAAATGGAGTTTTTTAATGTTTCCATCCTTATTTATTGCTTAGAAAGATGAAAAATAAATAAGGAATTTCGTTTTTGATTGAATGTCAATAATTTTTTTAAAAATAAGCTTAGAACTTGCATATTAATTAAACGGAATATTGGTTCCCATTTTCCTTAAAAAATCATCAAAATTTTAAAGTGAATGGTCAAATAGTTTAAAAGTTATTTTATTAGTTTATCCTAAATTAAACTTTTTTGCAACATAAAGTCAGAAAATGATAACGTTACAGTAATTCTATAAGTAATAGTTTACGAAAGACAAATATTCATTATATCAATATTATTAAGAAAATTTGAAGAAAAGCGATTTTAAATATTGCAAAATAATTTTGTAAAAACATGTCGATTTTTGCATACAATTAGAATAACTTTTAATTGTTGCATACATTGAAAGCCAGACTTTTTAGTAATTAGTAACAAGAGCAAGTTGTCTTAGGACAATTTGGGACCAAGTTAGTCCCTGTTTGTTAAATTCACTGCAGTTTTGTTTATAACAATTAAGATATCTAATTAGCGTCATTTGAAAGATAATACTTTAAAGTTTTAATGTGCAAATTTAAAAGAATTTACAAAGTAATTGTTAATGGAATCGTCCACAAAGCCTGAAAATGTTGACCTCAAAATCAGCCGGCTTTGAAACTCGCAGGAGCGAAGAAGAAGGAACCTACCTATTTCTTACCTTACCTATTTCTCTGGATCTTGTTTATGGATTTCGACGTTTCTTTCTTGAATTTGTATGTATTTTTTGCGTACATTATGAATATATATAATTCAAATAAATAAATTATTAAATAAACCATCTAATTTGTTTAAAGAATTTTTTATTTCTTTTAGTAATATTTGTGGTAATTTTTATGTTTTGTGGTAAAACATAAATATTATTGATTTTTACTAGTTATTTATTAATATTTGATTATTTAAGATTTTTGAAACAAATTATAAAGAAATATTTTTTTGCTTGGAATATTTTTTTTTATAATTTGTGTTATTCATTAAATACCTACTTTACATTTAAAATACAAATACGAAAATGAAAATCCCGAAAAAAAGCCGATTTTAACGTTTTTTGTTGCCATTTTTTAATAGGTTGGACATCGAATTTATAAATCAAAAAATATGAGATGAAAGCTTAACTTCATTAGTTTTAAAATATACAAATCCATTTTAATTTTATATGGGATAAATCAGTGTAAAATATCCATAACAAATTAAAATACCTGTTCGTTTCGAGATATATAAACTTGTCGAACTTCTAAACTTTGAAGTTGGAAACACATTGTTTAAGTCTTACGCACAATCTGAATCTTATTTTAATCGAAAAAATACGATACTACATCATTACAGTAAAAAGTTTACCCAAAAATTACTTCGAGAAGTTATTTATTTATAATAAATTTTCAACAAATAAAAAAATTTCTTTTTTATTTGAAACCAATAATTGATTCTCTCGTTTATAATAAGCAGGTTCCCCTGGTAAACCTTGTGTAAACTTTTTACTGAATTATTGCAGCATTATATTCTTTAAATGTAAAGATTCAGCTTGTGGGTGAGAAATAAAAAATGTTTTTCGATTCAAAGAAGTTCAGACGGTCGTCAAGTCTATATATTCCGAAACACAACGGTATATAAATTTATTTATGGATATTTTAAAATGATTTTGCAATACAAAATTACCATGAAATTGGGAATCTTTAAACTAACTAACTTAAGCTTTCACCTCATATTTTTTCTCATGTTTTTTTTAAACTTAATGTCCAAACGATTATAAAACGGCCTCAAAAACGATAAAATCGACTTTTTTCGGCATTTGTAATCGTTTATTTGCATTTTACATTTAAAGTGAGTATTTTACGAAAAAACGCATGAATAACTTTCGTATTAAAATAACTTAAATTATTAAAAAAAAATTAAGTTGGAAGCAAAAAAAAACATTTTTTTTATAATTTGTTTAAAAATTGTTAAATCGTTAAATATTCATAAATAAATAGTAAAAATCATTCATATTATTGTTTTACCATAAAAATTACCACAAATATTACTAAAAAAACTAAAAATTGAAAAAAATTGATTGAACAAATTAAATGAGACATAAAGTACATACAAATTAAAGAAAGAAACTTTGAAATTTATAAACAAGAATCAGTTTAAGCCTCCTTCACTATCGCTCCCGTGAGTTTCAAATCCGACAGATTTTGAGAACCATATTTTGAAGTTTTGAACAAACCGAGGGCAACTAAATCAGGAAAATTTTTAAACTTGACGAGATACAGTATCTGCTATTGAATGGAATCATAGAAAAAAGCAACTCTCCTTGGTGTGCACAAGTACTTATTACAAAAATTGAAACACACAAAAAGCGAATGGTGGTAGATTATTCACAAATGATTAATAAATTTACTTACTTAGATGCCTATCCTCTCCCAGATGTTGAATATATTGTTATAAAAGTAGCAAGATAGTCTGTTTTCAGTACCTACTATTGATCTTAAAAATGCATACCATCAAATTCCACTCAAAAATGAAGAGAAAATATACACTGCTTTTGAAGCCAACGGCCAACTATACCAATTTTGCCGGATTCCTTTTGGGGTAACCAACGGAGTGGCTTGTTTTCAAAGGGTTATCGATGGTATTATTAAATCCGAACATTTAAAAGGTGTATATATCTTGATGACAGTACGGTTTGTGGATTAAATCAACAACAACATAATGAAAATCTTAATAAATTTATGGAAGTAGTGAAGAAATACAATCTAACAATAAATCAAAATAAAAGTTCTTATACACTAAATTCAATCTTATCAATCTTATCAAATAGAAAATCAGACCTTAAAACCTGATCCTGAAAGACTTGAACCATTAAAGAAGTTACCCTTACCAAACAATTCACAATCACTAAAGAGAGCTGTGGGAATGTTTGCACATTATTCGAAATGTATCCCACAATTTTCAGAAAAGATACAAAAACTAGTCACATGCAATACTTTTCCTTTAACAGAACAAGCAGCTGAAGCTTTCCAAATTCTTAAATCTTAAATTATTTCTTCAGCCGTTACTACGATTGATAACAAGATTCCTTTTATCGTTGAATCTGATGCTTCAGATTTTTGTATTGCCAAGGAGGAAGACCTGTTGCTTTCTTTTCAAGAACCTTATCAAAAAGTGAAAGAAATCATTCATCAGTGGAAAAAGAGGCAATAGTGGAAGCTCTTAGAAAATGGAGACATTTCTTGATAGGTAAACATTTTCGACTTATAACTGATCAAAAGTCTGTCTCTTTTATGTTTAATATGCGCCACACTAGTAAGATAAAAAATGAGAAGATTATCAGATGGCCCTTGAATTATCATGCTACAGTTTCGATATTCAGTACCGACCAGGAGTTGAGAATGTAGTGCCAGATACTTTCTCACGAGTGAGCTGTTCAATAAATCCTCGACCAAGTCTATTTGAACTACTTCAATCCTTGTATCATCCGGGAATCACCAGAATGGTCCATTGGATAAAGACACGTAACTTACCATATACTATTGATGAAGTCCGTGAAATGACTAATCGATGTCCTATCTGTGCAGAAATAAAAACAAAGTTTTTGAAAACTCAAGGGAGATTAATTAAAGCTACTTCGCCTTTTGAAAGATTGTCTCTGGATTTTAAAGGACCGCTTCCATCTAGATCTCATAACAAATATATCCGAACAATTGTTGACGAATATTCTCGATTCCCCTTTGTATATCCATGTCAAGATGTTTCAGCGAAAACTGTTGTGAAGTGGCTTACAAACTTATTCTCTTTATTTGGAATGCCTAGTTATATCCATTCAGATCAAGGGTTAGGGGGGGGGGGGGTATTTATGTCTCAAGAAGTCAAAACATTTCTCTATTCACAAGGAATACCTACAAGTCGAACAACATCTTACAATCCTGAAGGCAATGGCCAGACAGCAAGATATAATGGAATTATATGGAAAACTATTTCTCTTGCTTTAAAATCTAAACATTTAAAAACTGAACATTGGGAAGAAGTAGTTGAGGTAGCTCTTCATTTAATTCGTTCTCTTTTGTGTACATCTACAAACAGTACCCCTCATGAGCGAATGTTTCATCATTCCAGAAAAGCTATAAATGGATCTGCGCCTCCTTCATGGTTGATAACCCCCGGAAAAGTATTTATGAAAAAAAAAAATGTGAGGCAGTCTAAATATGAACCCCTCGTTGAAGAAGTGCAGCTAATTGAAGCAA